CCTCCTTTACCATCTCATGTTTTTAACATTTTGGGAACTGTCAGAGCTTGAAGGGATATAGTGTGTGCTGGAGAGAGGAGGTTTTCCCTTTCCGAGCTGGTGTGAAATGTGCCTGGGTGGAGCTTCTCCCCTCAGCCCCGGGGCCCGTGGGCACCCCGGCCTTCCTCAGAAACCACCACCTTCTCTCGCTGCGCTTCAATTAAAAATAACCATGCCTCCCATTGGCACTGAAAAGTGGGGGAAGGAAAAAGGTGGTGGTGGTAATCGCGTTAAAAATACGATGATTTTTAGGGTTCAAGCACCGGCGGCAGCGCCGCGGCCTAACGGTTTCCATGGCGACGGCCCCGCTCTGCGCCTGCGCGGGAGGCGCTGTCCCGGGCCTGTCGCCGGTCAGCGACATGGGACCGACCCACCTCGTGTGTCGGGAAAACCCCTGGCGGCCCGCGGCCCGGGACGGGGTGGGAGGCAGGACGAAACCCTGAAAACAAGCCCCCGGTGAAAGATTAAGGAGAGGAAATAGCATAAAGGGAGCGGGAGGTGGCGTGGGCTGCGGCCTCGTGGAGGTGGCTCAGCCCTCCTCCATGTTGTGGGTGAGGTGAGGCCATGGCCGGGCCCCATCTCTCCACGAGTTCATGATGGGTTGTAGAGGAGAGGTGGAGCAGTCTTGTGGGGCAGCAGGCCATCCTCTGGCAGGCCTCATGTGATGCTTTGTGTGGTAGGGTGATCCTGTGGTGGTTTTAATGGCCAGGAGGGGGCTTTAACATCAGTGCTCCCTTTGCTTCTTCCCTTGGTAAATGGGATGTTGTAGGGGAGCTTCAAGGCTGAGAGAATGGCAGCAGCGCGTCAGGGCAGCGCAGGACGTGGGGAAGGAGACAGCGCTGAAGGAGGGGAGATGGTGTTTTGCTGGGGGGAGTAGCAAGAGGCCAATTAATTTCTCTAGTGCATCAGGCATGGCTGATGAATGCTGCTCCCAAGGAGCAAAGGCAGACGTTTCACATAGGTGGCTGTGTGGCCTGGGACTGGCTTTGGCAGCTGCACAGGCACTGCTGGCCTTCACTCCTCCACACGGTTTGGGGACAGGAGGCTGGGTGGTTCTTGGGAAAGGCCTTCTTCAGAGCTGGGGTTCTCCTTTCAATTATATTCCCCCCCCAAGTCACCAGCATTACAATGGGGAGCAGAAAGGCCAAAAGAAAGGCCTCCAAATATTAATGCCACTCCCCCTCCTACCCCCAAACACATGGGGAAACAATTAGTATTTTCTTTAGAATGGCAGCAGACTGAGGGGACCAACAAGGGTTTCTCTTGCATTAGAAACAGTGATTTTAAAAGGTAAGGACTGCTTCTAAGCAGTATTGGTTTCAAGCAACTTCTTTCTTAAAAAAACAAAATAAAAAAGCTCAGAAAAATCCCCACCCCAAAAGTCCTAGATGAACATTTTTCCTCATTTTCCAACCAGATATTTTTCTCTGGGGAAATAAAAATTTTAACCAGCTCCAGCAAGCCCATCAGGAGGAGGACAAGGGACAATTTTTAACCTTTTTACAAGATGTGGATAGACAATATTGTTGAAGATGGGTAGTCCATATTGTTGTTTATTATCTATAATAAGTAGCATCCAGAAATCGCAGTTAAGGATCAAGCCCTAGTGTGCCAGTCCTTGTACAAACACACAATAAGAGAGTCCCTGCCTTGAAGAGCATACAGTCTAAAAATGGTCCCTTACATGGCATAATTTGGAGGGGAAGGATAGGAATTGGAGACAGAGAAATGAGAAATCAACCTTTTTCCTGACTTCCTCTCATCTTCTAAACAGAAGCCATAAAACTTAAATGCTGAGATGACCATTTCTAGTCCCCATCATTAGCCAGATGTTAGAATTATAGAATGATAGAACCATTTTGGTTGGAAAAGACCTTTAAGGTCTTTGAGTCCCACCATTAACCTAAGTCCACCACTAAACCATGTCCCTCACCACCACGTATAAATATCTTTTAAATACCTCCAGGGATGGTGACCCAACCACTTCCTTGGGCAGCCTGTTCCAATACTCGACAATCTTCTCTGTGAAGAAATTTTTCCCAATATTCAATCTAAACCTCCCCTGGTGCAACTTGAGACCATTTCTTCTTGTCCTGTCACTTGTTACTTGGGGAAAAGAACCTGACACCCACCTCACTACAGCCTCCTTTCAGGTAGTTGTACACAGCTGTAGAGCTTTCTGCCACAAGTGACCATCCTCCACTTGGTATCTCTGGACCCTTGGGTATGTTTGTCTCCACCTTGGTAGGGGGATGTTCCTTCCCCTTTGGGAATGGGATTCTTTTTCTGCTGTAGTTCAGATTTGTTTTTCTTGAAACCAAGACATCGGTTCTGCAGACAAGCTTCTAGTTCACACTGCTGCATTCTCTGCTGACACTCTGCCTTAAAAGGACAGAAGACAATCAATTTATCCAACAGGTTTCATACTAGAAGTCTGGACTTGTGGCACTGGTGGAAGGAGAGCATTTTCCAATCCACAGGACAAAATTATACTCCTGCATGAAGTTTTCAAGTCATTTGAAACAGTACATCTGTCCACAGGGGGTGTCCACAGGTTGCAGCAGAGCCTAAAGGCAGATGTGGCAGATGAGTTCACTCTCCACTTCATCCTGGAAGTTGCAGAGATGCTTGTCTTGTCCAGCAAGATGTGGCACTGACCACATTCATGGTGAAGTTCACCAGCTTGGGATGTGTGGTTTTCTGCTACAGGATCAGCTATGATAGCCAGCACCAGGCACTCTTGGGCCACCAGCAAGGAAACTGGTCATGTCGTAGCTATCTGGCAGAGGTCCTCTGTAGGTGCAGGGGGCATGAAGGTGATTTACTCGTCCTGGGGAAGAGGAGGGAGGGGGTGAGGGAAGGGGGGTGTAGGAAGGGACCAGTGGGGCTCAGCTCCCACTGCTTTGCTGAGTGGGGCCACACACAGCTACTGGATGTCTGTGTCCTGGATTCCCTGCTGACAGCAGGAAAACCTTTTTTTTTTCAAGAAACTGGAGCTTTACAAAGTAATTCCAAAAAATGGTGGATTTTTCTTTCTGTCTTTTCTTAGCTTTCCTTTTTTGAGATACTGTAGAAACTTAAAAACATGATTGAATTTGTGCATGCCTTTATTTATTGAGCTATTTATGATGGGCACAGATTTCCCTAAGCCAAAAAGCCCCCTCCCTCCTCCTTCCCCAGCCTTAGTAATCAGCTTCCTTGTGTTCCAGCCCACGCTAGGCTATTTTCCTCTGTCAAATCCTCCATCATTGGTTAAATTACCTAGGTGTGTGTTGGCTTCATCTTTTTTTGGTGAAATCTTATAATCTTTCAAGTCTGCTTTGCCCAAGTCCCTGTCATCCTCTTAGGACTCTTGTACATCCTGCTTCTCTCCTGGCTGATTCTATCAAAAGGTCTAATTTCGACAAGCTGCTGCTCTCAGGGCTGTACTCCAGTGGCCATGGCCATCATGGGTGTCCATCAAGGCTCCCAAGTGCTCCGAAGCTGCAGTGAATTGCAGATGTGTGGACTCCTTGGCACATGGCTGTGAAATTTTCCCTTCTGCCATCCCTTTCTTAGTTGCTCCCCTTCTACGTTTCGCTGCAGCCTGCATTGCCTGCGCACCTTTTATGCCACCAAACTGCTAATGAGCATATTTTGGCACGACTTGCCACCAGCGTGTCCCCTCCCATGGACATGCTAGCAGCTGCCTTTTGACACGTGAGGACACACTTCACTCAGAGCCTGTCGCGTCAGTCAGTTCTAATCTGGGGTGCTCTTTCTTTTTGGCTCTCCACAGAGATCAGAGGACCCTGTTTAATCCAGCTCCCTGGCGGTGGAGGGTTGAGTCATAGGAGGTTTTTCTGTTGCTACGTCTAATAGCACTTTGCTATCAGGAGCAGAACATCAACCCGCTTGGCTGGGAGTTGGCACTGTCACCCAGCAGCTCTCCTTGTCTGGAAGTTGTTTTGATTCTTTTCTTAGACTTCTCCCTCTCTGTGTCTTTCTCTCTAAAACATTAATTTCCTCTAATTAGAGCCTCCTTAACAATTCTTTTTCCCCCTCTCCTCAGTTAATTTTCTCTAATTAGAACCTCCTTAATAATTCTTTTGCTAAATCAATTTCCTCAGTTAGAACCACCCGCCATAATTTCTTTCCATCCTTTCAAAAGCTGTCGCAGTAGCTAAGCAAATTATGCTTCTGGGTAACCTTTATCTCTTACTTGGTATTTTAAAAGAAGAACTGTAACAGGTTAGACAGGCACAATTTCCCCTTCCAGAGCAATGCTGGTCTGACCCTATTAGGTTATACTTAGCTGAGTGTTGTACTATTGTATACTTAATTAGGCGCTCTAGCTGTTCCTCTGGAACCAAGGTAAGGCTGTATTTATGAATGAATTAAACATGACACTTCATTATTCAGATCAGATTTAACAGTGTCAAAATCCATCTTTAAACCAGATCAAATTGCTCTCTAAGAATATGTAAAACCTCCAGCCCCTGTTAGCTGTCCTGTGAGCCAGCCGTTCCTAACCTTTTCTCTGCAGCCATGCCAGCTTTCTTCTCCTGGCAAGCCTTTTAAGTACTAATTGTTTCTAAAACATGCTGGTTTTAAAAAGATTTTTTTCCGTGTGTGTTTGTAATTTACACAGTAAGTAACTATTAATGGCGCACTGCATTTAACAAACATGCTCTGGGCCACATCAGCAGTTGGTATAAATGGGGAGGCAGCTGATTTATACATTATGGACCTTGGGCCTGAGTTTCCTCTTCTACATGATGCAGTTTCTTCCCAGTTGAGACAGTATTATGCATTTCTGTAGCCCTTTAAGGTGGACAGTAAGGAACTATCTCACTACCTCTGACCTTTGTGAAATCTACCAAGGATGACTTGCTCCATTTCCTGATTAGGGGAAGAAAAAGGGCCAAGTATTGGTGGCAACTGGGAGGAGCCATACAGCTTTAGTGAAGTCTGGTTTTTTTATGTAATTATTAAAAAAAAAAAAAAAAAAAGTAAGGGAATACATTTGGGCTGCTGGAATGCTCTCTCCCCACCAGTGCTAGGTGCAGCACTGGTAGCTGATCATGTTCCCTTTTCTAGTACCACTTTCTCAGCTTAGCACCTACTACCAAGCACAGACCTGATGGTTTCAACGAGCATCGTGAAGGAGAGCACTGCCCTGCTATGGTGTGTGGTACAATACGACCCAGCTCACACAAGACAGGCCAAAGAAAGCTACAACAACAGGCTCATGAGACTACCTCTAGCATAAGGACTTTCTCTGTCTTTGGCCATGCCCAACGTAAGCTGCGTGGCCTGCTCAGATCCTGATCACAAAGCAGAATGTCACCGTGGGCCCTGCAGTCTGCTCCAGTGAGGCAGATGGGCCCTTCAGACTTTTGAAGTGCTTTTCACCACTGTCTGATGACAATCAGCAGCGCCTCAGTGGGTGGGTGCTTTGGGTGCCACTGGGTACAACAAGTGGAGTGACCCACGAGGAATGTTCCACGGATAATTCTGTGGGGAGCTGGTGGAGGCTTGCAGCTACTCCATCCGTGTCAGTGCCACTGTCAGCTTTCTGGGCAGGTTCAAAACATTTTTAGCAAGCCCAGTTACTGTGGGAAAGCTGTACTGCTCCCCTCTTTCACTCTTTTTCACTTCTGACCTTTCCAAGCCCCTAGCACTCCACAAAGTCTGTTCTGGTAGAAGTGGTGCAGAAGTCGTAAGATCTACTTTATTTCCTTTGCAGTCTTAATAACTGCAGAAAACTCCATTTGCCATCACTTCCCATGAATTTTGGAGTAGGACTGGATGGAAAAATGAAAGTTTTTGGTTTTGTTTTTGACAAAATCCCTAATGTTTGAGATGGGAACAGGACATTTGGGGGCGATCTTACAAGGAGTAAAATGCTGGTGGTGCTGGAAGGGGGTTGTTTGGGAAGGGTAGAGTCTCTAAAAAGATATGTTAGAAGGCTAAAAAAAAGCTGTCTGGTTCTTCTCAGAAGAGATGAGAGAGCAGGAAGAGGGAATCATCAGGTTGGATTGTTCAGACCAACAATCGAGTACAATGGAAGAGATGCTGTTCTCTACGCTCCTTGAGAAGCCCATCCTGCTGGTCTCCAGTCCATTCCAGCTGAGGACGAAGAACGGCTAGAGATAGAGATAGGCAATCCAGTAGACGATGTTGAAGAGCAGGAAGGCAGTGGGGAAGAAGACACGAGAGTAGGAGTCCAGGCGGGAGATGTGAATGCGGACTCTCCCCTCCCGCCACATTCCTGTCTGACAGTCCTCAATGCAGCAGAAGAACCTCTCGCATTCTTTTCCTTCCAGGCACGGCGAGCCAGGGTCTTCATCCTCATCCTCCTCTATCTCTGGGGGCCAGTGCATGATGTTGTTGATGTTGATGGTGGTAAAGGATGGCATCACCTGTGCACTGGCAGGTGGCTGAAATGAGGAGGGGTAGGTGGATTAAAGGGAAGGAAAAGGCAAGAAAACATGCTCTAGGCACTGGCAATAGATCAGTTCATAGCATAGGTGCAGTTCAATGGAGAGAGGTTACTGATCATGTCCCATCTCTGCACTTGGTTGTAAATCGCCACCTTGGCACACTGTGGGGACTGGCATGCATGACTCTGAGTTTCCTCCCTGGCACCCTAGGGCATAGCCTTAGTCAGCAAAGATCTAATTGCTCTGATTCCCCATCTCTGCCACTAATAGTCAGTGCAGAAATAGGACCTCTTTGGTTTCAGCTGTGCTAGCCTCCTCTGAGCTCAGCTATCTCTGAAGACACAGCACACAGCCCAGATGTGTCTTCTGGTTGCTGTTAAGTTGCTGGAAAAAAAACTGGTGAAAGGCCGTGTGTGACTCATAACTTCTTGGCCCAGGACAAGAGGTGTATCACGAGCCTCATGGAAGAGCTCTCTGCACCTGTGCTGGGAAATGAAGCTGGCACAGAAGAGAACTGTCTGTCTTCGTTTCAGTTCTGTCCCAATTCAGAGGCCTGTTTCAGCTGATATGTCAGAAGTACCTGCCATTACCTTGGGCAGATCTCAAGGGGATGACGACCGCTCTGGGATCACTATCCCCACACTCAGGAGGCCTTCTGATGGATCAACCACAAAAGAAAGTAGGTTTCTGCATCCCTCTGACCCAAGATACCTCTGTAATCCACAGGGATCACATTGGTACAGGTGGAAGAACCTGGGTATGGATCACCTTGTCTTGAAATGGACATTTACATTTGGTCCTGTGAGTCATCCTAAACTGTAGTGGTCACCTCTCCAGCAATTTTGAAGAGAGCACAGGGTGCCTGGCTCTGAGAGGGACCCCCCTGTTTTAGAGGAGCCTCAGCTGCTTTTTCTGGCTGTGTCTCACCTTTCGGGTGCTCAGACCCAGCACAAAGAATGGTCTGAGGACCTCATGAACACAGTGTGTGTTCACACTAAACCACATCAGGAGTTTCCAATGTAGGCTCAGGAGGGGTATTTCTAAATAGCTTGGGGTTCTAACAGCACCCACCCCTGCTTGCCCCTTTGACCTACCAGCCTGGCTTTCCTGTTGTTGTGTTCAAGTGGTTTCTTGTTTCCCACCAGGTAGTTGAGTGTAGCGTACTCCATGAGAGCTGCAAAGACGAAGATGAAGCACACAGAGACAAAGAGGTCCATGGCTGTGATGTAGGAAACACGAGGAAGGTGCTTGCGGGAGATGGTGCTCAGGGTGGTCATCGTTAGCACAGTCGTGATACCTAAGAAAGAAAGAGCTGATTTTAGTAATGAACAGGACCACTTCTGTCTTCTACGTGCATCCAGTCCCCAAAATATCCCCATTTCCCTCCTCCTGTGCTGTGGGAGAGAAATTGCTCTGGTTGTCTGGTCCCATTTTCCCTCTGCTCAACTGGACCCTGGTCTTGAGGTGCCCTCTGGTAATGCTCTAAGGAAAAAGAGCTATTCAAAACCCAGGTGTCACACAGGCTGTCAACGCAGACTGGGAAAGGAGTGGGGACCTTGGACTCTGCTTAGGGCTGTACACAGGAACAACTGCTTGGATGATGGGAAGAGAGCATGAAGAAAAGACATGCTAAAAAGGAATTATACTGGATGGATGGCTTTGGGCGGGCAGTGGGTGAGTTGGGATTTGGTCAGTGACGTCTGATTGAGTCAGCAATAAGCTGGCAATGTCTCAAGTGGGGGACCTTGTCAAAGGCCTTACAGAAGTCCAGCTAGATGACATCCATAGCTCTTCCACTGTCCACTGATGTAGTCACTCCATCATAGAAAGCCACCAGGTTGGCCAGGCAGGACTTGCCCTTGGTGAAGCTGTGCTGGCTGTGTCGAATCATCTCCCTGTCCTCCATGTGCTTTGGCATAAATTCAAGGAGGATCTGTTCCATGATCTTCCCAGGCATAGAGGTGAAGCTGACAGGCTGTTAGTTCCCAGGATTCTTCTTTCTACTCTTTTTTTGGGATGTGACTTTCCATATATTTGAAATGCCAATGGAATTGGTCCGGTTTACATCTCCCTAATGAAGGCTGATGGGCTTGAAATGTACTGGGGATCATTTGTATTAAGAACAACAGGGGCTGTGGAGAGAATACATTACTCTTGATGTCCTGAGGTCCCTTTCCACAGAGAGCCCCCCCCTTTTCCTCCTGGGGAAAGCTGCCTTTGCTTTTTGAGACAGCCACCACAGTGGTGTCAGCCGTGAAGAACATTTTGCCTCTTGCTGTTCGTTCCTTTCCCAGTCACGGACCGCGGCGCACCCTCACCTCCATTGGAAATGACACCCCACTCCTCCTCCTGCTCTCTCCACGGGCGCCAAAGAAATTGATTTTGATAGGGAGGTGGGGAGAGATGGTCAGAATGGATGGGCTCTGAGTAGCCCCTGCCTGATGCTGATGGCCCCTCTCCTCTCCTCTCCCTCCCCGCAGAGGCCTGCAAGCAGGGGTGGGGATGCTGCCTCCAATTAAAGGGAAGGACAGCGCTGGGAAGCAGAGCTTACTGCAAAATGCAGACACAACCAAAGTGCATTAAAGATTTGTAAAGACCTCTCTAGAGCCTATCAGAGCAGGATTCATTTTTCCTGCCTCAAAGAGCCACTGCAGGTTGCTCTGAAGATCTAAACGATAGGCAGAGCTGTTGCCACGTCCTGGACTCCCACTGTGGTGTGACTGACAGGGAAAGGCTGTACCTACAGGGCTTCCACATCCTGCCAGAGCTTGGGACTCTATGGATAGAGCTGAGCAACTTTGCTCATTACCCTGCAACCTTCATGTCACTGCTCCTGCCCTGAGCCTGTGAAAAGTCATGAGGAAATGCAGAATACATGCATGTTACCAGAGCCCTTTGGCCAGACTGCAATGCCACAGTCACCCCTTCCCTCTCCCATTTCACACATCAGAATACCACACTGTCAACTTGGAAAAGTCTTCCTGTCCAGCCTGCTCTAGGTGAACCTGCTTTCACACAGGGGTTGGACTAGATGGTCTCCAAAGGTCCCTTCCAACCTCTACAACTGTGATTCCGTGAAAAGACCGTGATCAGATCTCAGATCAAGATATGAGCATGTTGTGCTATCCTGAAGTAATGCAGTAGTCCATGCCAACACAGCTGGAGACTTGGTTGAGCTTGAGGATAATGTTACAAACAGAAAGACGGAGGAGTGGACTGTCCTCCAGGAAGCTGAATAATGCCAGAAAATGGCAAAGTGCTTTAGGAGATTTTGTACTCCCCACGCTGCCAGTCTGCCAGCCTTGCAGAGTTCAACAAGCAGCAGACATGCAACAACCTGTCTCTTACCCAGAGATGTCCTGGCTGGTGTAGAGTCTCTCTTGATCCAGAAGGAAACCCAGGAAAGAACAACAGTCAGGATGCAGGGAATGTAGGTCTGAATGGCAAAATAACCCATACGTCTGCTTAGGTCAAAAGAAACTGTCATCACCATGTACTCCCCTAGGAAAAAGCAAAAGACATTGAAATCATAACAGGTGGCTTCCTAAAACACAAAAATAGGCAATGTTTCAGAATTTGGAGTATTTCTGATTTGATTTTCTTGTCGGTTTAAGTGCCTGGCTGGCTGGTTTTGGAGCCGGCTTTGGGGCTGCCTGGATCGTTAGCTTCATGGACAGCTGTGTGACTAGCTGAGTAGGTTTGGTGACTCGCTGGCATTGTGGCTGGCTTGCTGGTTTTGTGGCTAGTGGACTTTGTGGCTACCTGGCTGTCTCCGTAGCTGCCTGACTTGATGGCTTTTTGATTAATTTAAGAGCTGACTTTGTGGTTGCCCAGCTGGCTACATGGCGGGCTGACTGTGTGGCCATCAGGCTGCATTTGTACTGGCCCGAAGCACACTGCAAAGCACACTGCCTGGAGAAGTTTCAGGGAAGAAACTATAGCGAGTATTCATCTTCAGCTGATTGCTGCAAGGGTTTCTTTTCTATGGGAGCTATTTAGCTGTGACAGGCTACGTGGCCTGGCTTGCCAACTAACTACCTGAGCTGTGACAAAGGAGACGTCCTTCAATCACTTTCATCGGGACTCTGGTCCTGCCCCTGGAACAGGCATGCGGTGCCGTACATCCTAATTGCTCATTTGGCAGCTCACAGCTGAGGTTCTTCCTCTTTTTCAGAGGCTCCTAGTGAGTACTGGAAGAAAGCCACTCGACAGCTCTAGGGTTAGGATGGAGCTTGCAAGCAATTACCAAAAAAAGAGAATTACAATCAGACAGCCACCGGTGCATTCAAGACACTTTCAATGCACCACTTCTTCTCCTGTTTCGTGCTGCCTTTCTACCCCGGTTAGAGGCTGGCTGCTGGTGTTGGCAACAGCAGCTTTCTGCAGAGTGGGAAAAACACTACCCTGAACTTGCTGCTTCCCAAGGCTTAAAAATATGAGCTCACAAATTTGACCCCACCTGCAGGAACCCAAAGAGGCTTTCCTCAGTTGTCTGTGGGAAGGAAAGGGGATGTGAGCTATTAGGAAGAGGAGCTGAAGGGCCTCCAGTCCCTGGTTTCTTCACACATGCTCCTGTCTCTTAAAGCTCATCAGCTCCACACAACTTTACAGAAGGAAAGATTGAGACCTGCAAGTTTTGATTTGCACCCCACAGTTCACAGATGTCAGCCGTTCTGGCCTACCCCTGCTTCATCTTCCCCTCTCACCTTCATCTCCATCACTTCTGCTCCCTCTAGCAAAGGTCCATCCTTTCATTCTTATGTTTCTCTAACTGTGCTGTTGTGGCCTTCCTTCCCCACCACTGTGGAGCTGTCTGATGACTCCTTTGCCTCCCATGAGATCTCCAACACACTGGCGTTTCTGTGGGATGTCTCCCTTTGCCTCACCTGCCCCGGTCCTGAGAACTTCCGAGGTGTTCCTCAGCCCTGTGAAGTCAAACTGGTAGAGTCTCCAGGTGCGCTGGTCAGAGACCTCAATGGAGTAGCGTCTCCAGCGATAGACAATCTCTTCACGTGGGTAGCCATCTGGGAAAAGGGGCAAGGACATCAGTGAAAGGAGTTATGTCGTGTGCCTCCACCTCATTCACCACCCTGACTGCAAAAGCACTGGCATCTCACTCCAGCTGTTTTGTGGACGTGAAGCTTTCAGGCAGGTATTTCTGATGCCTTGTGTCTAGATTCCCTTAGGCATCTCCACATGCAATGGGAGCAGGGACAGCATCTCCCCTTGCGAGCCGCTTCAAATCCTAGGATGGGAAAAGCAATGCTAGAAATGGAGCCTTTCTAAGGTCTGCACTGGTGGGAGTGGGCTGGTGTAAGAGGACTTCCCCCAGCTGGGGCACCATGTGGCCTTCACCACTCTTCATGACTACCTTCCCAGGCACAAGTACACCAGGAACACAAAGCTGCCAAAGAGGGAGCCAGCATGGCCGTGGCTGCTCTGACTGTCTCTGTACCTCTCGCCCTGGGAGCTGATCTATGCACGGAAAAGAAGGGGTGCATTCTTCATGGAGAAGAAGAACAGGCTGGAGCACCACTTCTCCTGGCTCTGGCTCTCTTGACAAAGAAACAAGCCTACTGTGAAGCAGGGACCTCGACACCTACGAGAGAGTTCCTCAGAGGAGGGAAGGAGCAAGAGCTTGGCAGCTAACTGAAAGTGTGTTTCTAATTATCAAGCATGTATGGCATGTACTGTTAATTAGCAAAAAACGAGGGATGGTGGAAGATGAGGGGATGGTCTCTCCTCAGCATGCTGCCTCCCTCTGAAGCACCTCAGAACCATGTGAGCTGCACCTCTTCAGTGGCAGGGGAAGCAGGAGAGGCAAACCCAAGCTCAGATGACTAAATCAGATTTCCAACCAACGCATGAGGAGAGGAATCTCATGGTGCAGAAAGGCTCCCTGCAAAATTACCCGTGGAGATGTGCCAACATCAGCAGCCCTGATTAGCAGACTGAGAGGGGAGGTCTGATTAGCAGACTGAGAGGGGAGGTCTGAGTACCCCTCCTTTGTGATGGTCTTGGGTGCAGAAAGTGGACCTGTCTTTGGGCTGAGGTCTGAAAAGCCAAGGTGCCCCATCGGAGAGCAGGAGAAGGGGGAAGATGCAAAGCAGGATGGGCACCATTTGCCTGACAGCTGAAGGGATATATTCTGTCTAGTTGGTCAGAGTGACCAAAAGGTCAGTGAAATAGCCCTCTCCAACCATCCACCCAAATTAAGGAGAGACTCAGAGGTGCTGTGAATCTGTCCCTGAAGACCTCTGGTAGCCCAGGAGTGGAAAGATGCTTCAGGTGCATGACAGATAATGGCCCAGGAAGAGAGCTGTAAAGATTAGGTCAAAAATGTAGCTAAAAGGGAGGATGGTCACCCCAGAAAAAATTTAGTCACCTGGGGTTTCTCTATTTGCCATCTAAAACTATTTTACAAAAATGTATACTCACAACTGGAAAAAACCAAAGGGCAGGAGTGAGTGTCCATTGGGAAATTCTGCAGCTGCAGCAGACATTCGGCCTCGATTGTCAGCCTGAGAGGGGAAGAGAGCGAGAGGGAGACTGAGATTTTGTGTTGGTGAAGGTGGTTTGATGCCAACACCAGAATGTGACAGAGGGAATCTCGCTTCCTTGAGAGAGAAACACTAATTTGTTGAAGATCAGTCTGTTTGCAGAAACATTTCAAAGCAGCAGCAAAACAAAACATATGTTTGGATATTTTCAAAGTGAGGAAAACCATCTAATTTTCACATTCAAAAAGCCTTTTTGTTTAGTGAGCTTTTCAGATTCATTTATCGGAGTGAGAATTTATGGGAACAAAAGACGTGTCTTTGTTATCAGAATGAAATAGCTGAACTGACCAACACAAACATTGAAAGGATTTTGGTTTAGGAAACCATTTGTAGTTTTGACTTTTTTCTAGGTATGATGCGGAAAAACAGTTTGATTTTTTTTGGAAGCCTTCATCCCGGGAAGAGAAAGCTCATTCTGCAACCAGTACTGCATGTGTACTCCCATCAGCACGGGGAGACATCTCCACTACTCTGCCCCAGGGCACCTGGAAACCTCCTCTACTTTCACCAGCTCCTTGTTCCCTCACCTCAGCAGCCAGCTACAGTGCCTGCTGGATGTACCTGAGCGTGTAGAGGACTTTTCCGTCATTCCAGATGCGGAGGAGCTGATTAGGAGTGGTTATCCAGTGGGAATCGGCCCTCTTGGAGTTCCTAAAAAAGGTATCTGGGATCCAGATGCGGCTCACCATGTTGGTGTTCAGCGTGAGGGCCTTCAAGGTGCTGTTGAAACGAAGACGCCTGTCATACCACGTCTGAGCAAAGAAGATATCAATGGTGTATTCCTGTGAAAGAGAGGGAAGAACATGTCTTTCTGAGACCGATTCAGGCAAAGCAGAGCCCTGTCCTCTCGTCTGTAGGCCACCATTTTGGAGTCACAGCCAGAACATTTTAAGTCTGGGAGCAGGTGTTGGTGACCAATCTGTAGGCCACCATTTTGGAGTCACAGCGAGGAAACTTTCTTTTTAAGTCTGGGAGCAGGTGTTGGTGACCACTGACACCTTTCTAAGTGCATCTTTAGCTCAGAGTGAGGACATCCATGGCACACTTAGCAAAAGCCAAAGACTGTGTGTTGACTGGTGGGATGAGGCATAGCACAATTGGTCTCACCTATGCCTGGAAAACCAAGACCATATAAACACAGGCTTGGACCTCCTCTTGATTGACAACACAAGCTAGATAGTCCTTTTAAGCGCAGGCACGAAGGGGCAGTGTGGACGTTGGCTGAATCCAGCTCTAAGTTCAGCTACACCTTTCAAGCCCAGGCAAGGAAAGCTACTCACCACCTTACCAGAGAAGGCAGGTAGACAGCTCTTTCTGTCATTTATTGGATACAGCCCAGCAGTGCTCCATACACACCTACACTGTAAATGGTTTATATGAAAAACCAGGGCACTACAGGTTCCTGGGCAGATACCCCTTGCTGAAGACTAGAAAAGAAAGCTGAGGCTGGAGCTGTTTTGGACTCAGCTCTTGGTGTAACCAGTTCAAAATCTTGAGTCTTTTGCAAACAGAAAACAGAGTTTCCACCATAATGAGGACCTTTGGTTTTGGTGAGAGACAGGGTGTCCTAGCTCACCCATAACTAGCGTTTCTAGGTGGCAACTCCTGTCTGGATTGGGCCGTCAGTAGCCCACATCATTAGCCCACTGTTCTGCTGCTTGCTGCTGCAAGCTAATTTGCTCCTTACCCTCTTTTTCAGCCTGCCTGAGAAGGTGCTAATTAGTGCCATGTAGGAGCACGTCTGGCATTCACTGGCTGTCTGAACCAGACCCCAAATCCAGTTCCACCAACCCCTACTAAAGGCTGTCACCTGCTCCTGACAGCACCTCTCTGACTTGGACTTTGCTCCCTTTCTCTCCTGTTAAATCCCCGTGACCACAGAGGGATTGTCTCCCCTCTCTCCTCTGGGTGGAGACTAACAATGTCTGACTTTGCCATCTCTCCCTCCCATTCTCCTCCTCCCTCTATTGATTTATCTCAGTGGAATTTTTATGACTGCAGCACATCCTCCCTCTGCTGCCCTCGCTGCTGGCTCGGAGCTCGCTTCCCCAAACCACACCGTTAAAACAGACACCGTGCTCTCCGTGTTGGTCCCTTTCACTCCTGTTAAATCCCCGTGACCACGAAGGGATCGTCTCCCCTCTCTCCTCTGGGTGGAGACGAACGATGTCTGACTTTGCCATCTCTCCCTCCCATTCTCCTCCTCCCTCTATTGATTTATCTCGGTGGAATTTTTATGACTGCAGCACATCCTCCCTCTGCTGCCCTCGCTGCTGGCTCGGAGCTCGCTTCCCCAAACCACACCGTTAAAACAGACACCGTGCTCTCCGTGTGCTCCCTTGGACAGCGTGTCCTGCCTGGGGGAGGCAGAGCAGGGCAGCGCACGACTCCCCGCTTCATTCTCCTCGCCCTCACTCCACTGTCAGCCAACTGGTGATGACTGATTGGTACCCAAAAACGTCCCTTGCACGGAAATGAGATCATGAGAAAAGAGCATCAGGCGGCCGAGTCACTCTCTGGGCTGATCCTTCACCCTGGTCAGACACAGGGATGAGCGAAGGTGACGGGGATGAGGTCCTAACATAGCTCTAAACGGGGACAGATGCAGCATGTCCAAAGTGATGGTGGTGCCTCCACAGTTCCTTCAAAACAGACATGAGGAGACACAGAGCCAGGACAGCAGCAGCCCTCAAAGTCAAGCGTACAAGCATGTCCACTGCCCAAAGCCAGGAGGTGGGGAGAGCCTATTCCAGCATCTGAGTGCTCTGGATCACACTGAGTACTGCTTGGAAGTAAGGTATGTGGTGATGAAGGCATGGATCAGGTTGTGAAACAGTGAAATAGAGCCCACAGGCAGGGAAAGACACGTTGGCCCAGCAGGGACAAGATGGAGTAATGGCAGCCCAAGGAAATGTCACTGATGGGAAGGGCTGACTTTATTCTGCTTGGGGCCATTTTCTTTTCCTTCGTGCTGTCAGGGCCAAAATAACACAATATTAGAATCATAGAATCATAGAATCATAGAATTGCCCAGGCCAGAAGGGACCTCCAAGGGTCATCTAGTCCGACCTCCCCACAGTCAGCAGGGACACCCCCAACTAGACCAGGTTGCCCAGGGCCTCGTCGAGCCTCACCTTGAATATCACAGGCAGGGAAAGACACGTTGGCCCAGCAGGGACAAGATGGAGTAATGGCAGCCCAAGGAAATGTCACTGATGGGAAGGGCTGACTTTATTCTACTTGGGGCCATTTTCTTTTCCTTCGTGCTGTTGGGGCCAAAATAACACAATATTGACATATTCTCCCCAACCCCTGCAAGCCCTGTTGGAGCCACTATGAGCTTACATTGCTCCTCCTCAGCAATATCTCTGGTGTAGGAGAAAGCAACTAAAAATGCAATGTTAAGTCTGTGTTATTGAGCTCCATATTCTCCCCAACCCCTGCAAGCCTTGTTAGAGCCACTATGAGCTTACATTGCTCCTCCTCAGCAATATCTCTGGTGTAGGAGAAAGCAACTAAAAATGCAATGTTAAGTCTGTGTTAGATGCCACAATCAGTTTCACCTCCTCACTGGAGTCCCTTGTGAGATCTGGCTTCTGGGCTGGCTGCTCAGGTCAAATGTCCTGCTGTAAAGTTCAGCATTCGGGTCTGGGATAACCAATGCTAACATTTTGGGAGAGCGGAAGGTCAGCTATCCCAGGGGTTTAGTATTTGTTGTCAAGCCCAGATTTTCAGAAGGAATAAAGCACTAAAGAGCTCCTGCTGTGCCATTCATAGCTGGCCTTTGCAAAAGGTGTAGTGCACAAGTCATTGGGCTCTTCTGAAAAATCTGAGCTGTTATTGTCACCATCCTGTGGTTTGATCTAATTTCAGTGGCTATTATAAGCACAGCTATTCAGGAGGAAGAACTTATTAGCTGAGCTGGCTCCTTTGCCTCTAGGTGGGAAATGTTGGCATTTACAAATGTGTTTTCATTGAGAATTATCTGAGGCAAGATTTATACAAAAATGACCTGGCCTTTGCGAGCACTTTTACCTTCCCAATTCTCTCCCCCATCTCATTTTGGGGGTGGGGGGGGAGTGAGTGAGTGGTTTTGGGGGATTTAGTTGCCAGCTGGGGTTGAACCAGGACAACTCCTGAAGACTTTAGCACTGGTTCCTACCAGGTGCTCTTTGCACTGATGCTGAGGAACCTTGCATGACTCTACATTGATCAAACCCTTCTCTGAGCATTAATCAGATCCCACTTAGCTGTAGGCTCAAGGTGATTAAAGTAGAAGGTGTTTGACCATGGGTTCCCTACAGTCACTGGGGCAGGCACTTCTGGAGGGAGATCCCACTATGAAGCAGTCCAGGTTGTCTTCTGGAAATGCCTCGCTCTTGTACCAACCTTAGAAGAATCCAGGCTGCTCAAGGCTGAATAGCTGAAGTTTGGCAGGATGAGTTCAGCCCCTAAAATTTATGGCAACGCTATTTCTTGAACTCCTGCACCCCTATAGTTTCTCTCTGCCACTGATACATTCTCAAGCATCAGAAAGAGACTTCTCTACACCTCAGTTTCCCCATGTGGAAAAAGGTTATTGTAAAATACGCCTCCAACATTACTGTACCATCTGCTGCGCAGCACATGGAGGTTGTTAACTCCTCTGTAAAAGCACGGGCTTTTTTAGTGTTTTCAACAGAAGGAGCTGGCGAAAGAAGAGGAATCGCTCTAAGAGTTGGGTCGCGCCATTTGGATCACACATGAGGCAGCTCACACACGTTGGCACGCCTGCGGTATCGCATCCAACGTCAGTCATAAAATAATACATCAAACTACCCGTAAGGCAAACACTGAAAACTGCCTACCCTAAATACTACCACGTGAGTCGATGCAACGCTGAGGAGCGTCCTGCAGCATCGCCGCTCCTGGCCGTGTGGGCTCATGGCCAGCTCGGCCCTTCAGCGTGTCCCTGGTGGCCCTTGGCCACTGTCATCACCTGGCAGTGCCACACGTCACTGATCAGTCCTCCTTTTCCTCATGTGGGCAAGAACAGATGCTGGTGGAAACCCAGTTCCAGAAAATGGTAACATCTGAAAACGTTTAATGGAAAAAAATACCTGTCCTGTAGAAGAGCACTTGTGGGAAATAAAGGGATGCGAAGTTGACAAGAATATTTCATCTTGGAAGAAAAACAATAAAACAACAACAAAAGGATTTTACTGCACTCTCAAACCCTTTCATTTTTAAAAACAGAGTTTAAGTGAAAAGCTATGGAATCTACATGTGAAAAATAATTTTAAAGAAAACCCCAAAATTTTCAATCCAAAAGAAAATAGACAGGTTCAGAAATCAGCCCGTCCCCAGCACAAGAGAGATGGAAACCGGCCAGTGTTCTCATTGTGTGCAGCCCTAAGCCCTGCTCCTTGGGTCATCCCAGCTCCAGCCACTCTGTCCTAACCTTCATGGCCCTGGAGCACCTCCCTGCTCCCCGTCCCGATGTCCCGATACAGCAAGGACATCCAGCCTGGCCTCAGTTAACTCCTCCCTGCGCCTCCTCTCTCACCTCTGTGAGTGTGTGCACACACATGGCAAATCAGCCCGTATTTCCAGTTGGATTTGGCCCCAGAAACTCTACTCTAGACAGAGTTCAGAGCAGATATGAGTTAGGGCCACCCAACTTCAGATTAACAACCTAAACTCACAGGGTTAGGACGACACAACTCGAAATTAGCAGTTTGTATTTTCAGGTTACCTTCTACACCAAATAAACACAGCTCTGCAACTGCCAGATGATCCTTTT